AAAACAGCTTTTACGGATTTACTTTCCAGTTTAATTTTCATGCTTGTCAAAAGCGTTATACGGCCTTTTGGCTAGATTCTTCCAGATAATAGTTGTTAAAAAATCTCGCTTTAAAAAAAAAAGAATATTAGAGTGGCTGTGTACGGGGGAACAGTCAGAGCTTTACTGCATAAAAATATCATGGTTATCCAAGAGGCAGGACTTTCCAATTTAACGAACGTCTCTGATAGGACCGAGCCATGTAAATTGGGAATCTTGGACAAATCCCTTAACAATTCCAGGATCATTCGTGCTATAGAGCATGATGGTATAAACTGAGCTAACGGCACATGCGATACATTTCTGTATAGACTTTGTCATCAAGAGCTGGGAGATTTGAGTTTGAGGAAAGAAAACCACACTGACACAATGATTGTCATTTCGTGCTGGTTAAAAGTAAGAGGACGGACAGAAACAACTGAGGGGAAAGAAAAGAAATAGGAACTACCAGTGGCACCCTCAAAACACCTGCAACTTGAGCTGTGAGATCTTTAACTGATTGATTTACTTTTACTTATAATACTAATTGTACATAACGGATCAAGAGAGGGTCGATTTCATAGTGCAGCCGGAAAAACTTACATATTCACCAGCAATACATATGTTATTTAACCAACTGTAGAGCTAGTACTTTACTATGACCACCGAAAATATTAATAATATCCAACAGAGAGAATTGAATACTTTCGTATCTGCTCAAAACGTTATTTTCCAATCTGTTGAAACAACTAGGAATGTAGGGTCACAGTGAGTATGCTGTCACAACCTGACCATCAATGATTTATTTATAGAGGCACCAGCCATCCATGTCCAGGTGCTGTTTTAGCCATGCTGTCACAAATATATTATAAAGTAATGTTATACTATGACAGTGAGACGACGTCTCAGAAAATAAAATACATTGTTTTATAGATTTGACAAGCCGGACGGTTGCAGTTCCAGCGAGAACAATTAATTACCGTTCGTAGGTTTTTAATAGTTCATGCCATAAACAACATGATTTGTATAATTTATTAGAGAAATCAAAAGGAGTACTGCCTCAGACTGTCCTTCAGCACTATACGGGCTGTGTGTGATGTATTCTTGTAGAAAGGTTGGAGTATTCTATGATGTATCTTCTCAAAATGGGAATTAAAAACTTATTGCTCTCGTGCGCAAGGCGACGAGTATAACACATCCATTTTGGAAAGAATCCCCCCCCCCCCTTAAAAAAACAACAAACAAACAAAAACAACAACCAACTCCGGTGAACTAAAAAAAAAACAACAATAAAAATTCGCAAATTTGCACAGTGCTGGGGAAAAGCAAAACCCTAACGAGAGGGCAAAGAAAGAGACAGAAAGACTTGTAATGGATTTTTCTTATTATGTTTTGTAATCACACGTAACTGACTTTGAGGATTGGTTGTTGTTGTTGTGGTTGTTGTTGTTGGGGTAGTTGTTGTTGTTGCTGCTGCTGCTGCTGCTGCTGCTGCTGCTGCTGCTGCTGCTGCTGCTGCTGCTGCTGCTGCTGTTATTCTTGCTATTGTTGTTGTTGCTGAAGAAAGAAAGTGATATACAGCGAAGTAAAATGCAAGAAAAGAACGTGATGTTAACAGATATTATCACCTTGCTTATTTATCTCATCATGTTTTGTTGTATCGTTGAGTGCGCGCGCGCGCGTGTGTGTGTGTGTGTGTGTGTGCGTGTGTGTGTGTGTGAATGAGTAAATGAGCGCACGTGTGTGTGTGTGCTTGCTTATGCATGAGCACATATGTTTGGGCATGCGTCTCTGTGTGTATGTATGTTTTGCTTGAGTGCGCGAATACACGCGTTTGTTTGTTCATAATTATACATGTCGTATATGCGTGCATAAGTGTGTTCGTGTGTATGTGTATGTGTGCACAGTGTTTCTCTCTCTCTCTCTCTCTCTCTCTCTCTCTCTCTCTCTCTCTCTCTGCGTGTATGTATGTATGGGTATGTGTGCGTATGTGTGTGAGTGTGCGTGTGTGTGCGCGGGTATGTGTGTGTGTGTGTGTGTGTGTGTGTGTGTGTGTGTGTGTGTGTGTATGTCTGTGTGTGTGCGTATGTGCGCGCGCGTACGTGTGTGTGAGTGCGCGCGCATGTGTGTGAATGTTGCGTATTTATACGTGTGAGTATATGCGCACACATGAAGCATGAATAGACAAAGAGAGCAGGGAATGGGGACTGGCAGGCAGAGATAGAATAACAAAACACAGAGGACAAACAGATACCACTGGAAAGGAGAAGAATGTCATTTATTCAATATGATATGAATTGGAGTGGCTGAATCGATCACAAAAAATACGAATTGTTTGAATGTAAAATGGATTAGAAATATGATATACTTTTGGTGTAAATAAAAAAGATATTGTACTCAATATTTATGACACACCAACATACCAAAAACTCTCAATTGTCCTTGGTTATATCAATCACGTCTAGTCACATTTAATTTATCACAAAAATTCTTTATATCATTTGGTACACGACTGAGCAGACAGACGCAGTAAGTGGAGGAGAGGCATTCCATGAAAAGCGAGTTGCATAAATTCAGGAAAGATACATGTTTTCTGTTGTTTAAAAAAAATTGTAACAGTGTTACACTTTACCCAACACAGCTTCTTTGGCTATTTCTCTGCACATGGACTGTAGACTACTTGAACTTGAAAGCTCAAACAAATAATATCTCTTTCTCACCTCCCCTCCCACTTTTTTTTTTTACCTTAAAAAGGCAACCCCAAAAATATCTTACAAAAATAAAAATACAAAAAAAAACCCAACCTATCCGACACTTTTCGAAATGAGTTCACGTTCTTCATAAGCAAGGCAAACAGCCTCACCATAACAGCAAGTCAGTAAGGTACTCCTAGCCTATACTCCTATAGGAAGAAGACAAACAGCAAAGAATAAAACCGTCTGTTACAGTATCGGAGTCATTTAAAGCGGGGTTTTTCTTGGTTTTAACTTTGGACCCCGAGTTTGAATTTATTTTATTGGTGGGGTGTTTTTTTTTAAACGATAGATAAACCGACCACTCATAAAATAACGTATTGACGCAGAGTTGCAGACAAAAAGCTAGCGGGGAGGTGGGGGGTGGGGGTGGGGTGGGGTGGGGGGGGGGTAGCAAAGCTCAAAACAGAAAATAAAGATAGAAACACCACAGTGGTGTCTTTACCAATAAAAATACAGCAAAAGTATTTACATTTATAACAAAAGTGATACAGATAATAATAATATATTTTTATAATATAATCGGTTTTGATTGGTATTGAGTGACATGTTCTACTTGAGCATGTTACTCAGAAAACCATACTTGTGTAAAATATGAGAAGCCTCAGGTCATACCTGCTAAAAGCGAATTTAAGGTTTCATGTGTCTTCAAGTGACTAAAGTGTTTTGAAAATTGAAATTGTAAGATCCTAGTGTTGGCAGCGTTAATTATATGTGAAAACTTGGTAGACATTTTTCTAGAAAGAAACTTTCCCTTTTCGGCAACAGAGATTATTTTTCACTGAACAGGCTTCGAGTTCTGTGACATGGGGAGGGGAGAAAAAGTGGACAGGGGGGAACGGGAGGAGCGGGAGATAGAGATTGGGGGAAAGGGGGGGGGGGCGGTGAGCAAGATGAGAGTGCTCTACTTTATGTGTATTAAACCACCAAGAAAGCTAAAAATATGGGTGGCCAGAGCGAAGAATGAAAGTAAACAAAACCAATGGCTTCTGGGACTCAAATAATTTGATTAGAGGAATGTGGTATCATTTAGATGAATAGAACAGATGGGGTTTTACGATAATCCTTCTTGAATGAAAACTGCAACAACTGGAGAATATATTGGACCACAGAATTAACTTCATTTCAAACGTGAAGAATACCTTTACTTGTGTTAGATAGGAGACAAATAGTAAGTATATAAATACATACATTATTCAACCCACATTTTATTATATCATAAATAACATCTTCACAAAGGCACACACAAGCACACGCACATAACCACGCGCGCGCACGCACACACACACACACACACACACACACACACACACACACACACACACACACACACATAGACACACACACACACACATAGACACACACACACACAAATGCACATTCACATACGTATTCACGCACAAACAATAAGGATAAACCTATTTTTCATAATAACATAATATTTTACCATGCAAATGAAAAAGGATGTTAATTTGTTTGCTTCAGTAACTCGCTCACAAATATTTGGGAAAAGGACAATGAGATTTATTACATTAAAATTTCGACTTATTGCGAATATCATTTCAATACACCTAACATAATATAAAAATGATATCAAAAGAGATGGATGATAAAATGAATAACGGTGATGTCTATCACAGGTCTACGCTTCATTAAACCATCAGCTTCACCAGTATCATCAGTAGTCAAAAAGGGGACTTTATTTTTCAACAAAGCTTGTCTGATTCAACCGCTTTCAAGATATAAACAGCTTTTGAATTTGATCACGATACGAACAGTTTGTCAAGGCAAATCTTGGAATGGGACAGCATTGACTTCGTATTGCAGGCCATGTTACAAAGGGCCACGAACTCCCTACCCCCCCCCCCCCTCGCTTTCTCTAAAACAAACCAAGAAACAAAATCATAAAAGGAAAACCTGACAGAAAAAGTATACACTAGCACCAAAACATTTTCAGAAAAGCATTCTAACTGAAAATGGGCTTTTGGAATAGATCCTGTATTATGCGTTCTTCTAAATGTTGAAGGAATATATTCCTGAGATAGCGATATCGTCGGCAATATCTCTCAAAAAGAACATAATAATAAATTCTTTAATAAATTCTTTCACTGATATGGATAATAGTGTTCTTTTATTTAAGAAATTAATCTTCTTATCTTTATCTAATCTTAGAACCCCAGGCTTAAGGCTTCTGTCAACTTCAATAAAAGAATGTTTGATTATGTCCCCCCCCCCCCCCCCCACCCCCGATCCTGCCTCACCCAATAGAAGCAAACCTTAAGTGGTATCATTCTTCTTAACTACTTACCAGCATTTCACCTGCACTTCTCCAGACGCAGTTTATAAAGCGACTGAAATTCATTGAACAGAGTGATGGTTTTCCAACAAGAGTGCAGATGAGTCTGTGTTAAATCCCGTGAACCAGGTTTACAAAGGCGAAAAACATTTTGTCATTAAAAAAAATAATTTAATGTCTTCTCAAATTGATGTACCAAGTAAACTAGGTTTTCAATCTTTAAAACAAGTTTATCATCTTTAAAAAGAATGGCATTTAATACACTCTCAAATCATAGTGCCATTGAGTCATTGAGCACATTTTTATTGAACGCATAAATAACACATATTATTTGCATATCCAGTTTGAGTGTGAGGTTTTAAAACTGACTCATCAACATAAAAACAAAATGTAGAGAGAGAACACCTGCTGTCTATGTGTGATCAGATATCGCAACGAACAAAAATTCCATCGGTCTTGACTGGAACTCTAGATTCACATTGATCATTACAATTTTAAATGAACCTTTTGTTGATGGGAATCTTGCACCTGCTGACTTTTGAAATAAAGCTTACGTAACCAAAAGACGAAATGCAGATAAACGTTTGAAAAATAAAAGTAACCCACGAAAATGAGATGAAAACGATTGCATTAAACCATTATATCAAAAAAACTGAAACTTGGTTGAAAAGGACCCGATTAATCTTTGCTCATTAAAATGCAATTGAAAAAAAAAGGCTTTAAATAAAATTGCAAAAATAGATATCTAAAGCACAACATATAGATATATAGATCTAGTCATCCTTATTTTCACCATTTATAAAACACTAGTGGTCTCAATCAAATGTAGGACAAAATCCAATTCATACAAAACATAGATACAAATTGTATTCAATTAACATTACACCACGTGGAATAGAGTAAAAAAATGTAGACATTAGGATTGTTCCAAAAAATCTTGGAAAGGAAAAAAAAAGGCACCTCATAAAAGTTCAGATTCTAAACGGAATTAAAACAACGGTGCCTTTAACACGATTTTGGAAATAATGCAGAAATCATGAAACGAATCACACGGCAGAGTACACACAGGGTAGGGACCGATAGGGGTTTATTATACATTTGACCCCGCTGGTACCAGAGCCTTTTCCACTGGCTTCTCGAACTCGATATCACTGTCTTCCTCGACCTCATCTGTGAAGGCTAGGCGCCGGTAGCCCTCTGACTTCCCGTTGTCACCAAGTTGGGTCAGGGGGATGGACGACGGGCCGGAGCCGTTGGGAAGTGGGCCATTTATCCGCCGGTGCAGGAGGTATAGACCCAGGCACATGAAGAAAAGAATGATGAAGTGGGCGGCACAGTGCCAGCTGTGGACACAGAATCGACAAGATTTTTTTGTTTGTTTGAGCACAGAGAAGAACATGGACAAATTAACGGTCACTACGAGTTGGGAAAGAGAAAGAATTGAATAAGTAAGAGCAGCTATTGGCAACGAGTCCAGCCTGCATTTCAGAGAAAGACAAAGAATACAATTTTAATGGTTTGGCCACCTGTATCGTATGTCACCTAGCCAACCTGCCTCGAAAGCCTTATACACCAAGCACTCAGGCTATAGAAGACGAGGAAATCCTTGCAAAACGCGGATTGAGGAAGTCAATGAAACCCTAAAAGATTATATCCTAATTAAAAGAGCTACGGAGCTGGCCTATCGCAGAAAACTGCATCTCCCCTCGACGCTTAACGACAGCAGAGGATGAAAAAGTAAAAAGTGAAGTAAGCAAGTGCTGGGAACAAAGTAAGACAGAAAAAAGACAGAAATCAGAGAGGGAAAGCAGAGTAGTAGGACCTACCAGTGGCACACCCCAACCACCCGCCGAGAAGATGTGTGAGCCTTTAGTTTTAGTAAGAGTATTTCGGCCCTTTCAAAACAGTTAGGTCATATAAGTGTCGAAGATTATTAGAAGTGGTACAAGCAATATAGAAAGAAAAGAAGGATGCGAAATATGGATAATTGATATTTTATAGGAAGGAGGGAGCAACCCACACCAGTGCAAGTCTTTGATCAACCGCTACATAAACCAGTTATTATTATTATTAATTATTATCATTATCATTATTATCATTATTATTTTTATTATTATCATTATTATTATTGTTATCATACCATTATTATTATTATTATTATCATTATTCGCTATTATCTTTTTAATGCAAGGTATTTTACGCTCCCATTGTCACAATTTAAATAAACATTGAGGTAGGTTTCCACCCTGCCTGTCAGGAGGGTCAGGGCCGACCCGGGATGAGCGAGCTACAACACATAGAGACCGAGATACTTGATATCAATTCTCCTCACATGGGGATCGAACTGGGATTCCCTGTAAGCAACAGCAAAGCCCCTAACCTCTATAACCACAGACACCGTTATTGGGAAAGAAACACATTGCAAGACATTTATAGTAACAATAAAGTTGTCCCTTCATATTGTTCATTTGACCGATGTCCTTTAGTGTGGGCTAATTTTTGTTTTGTCAGTCGAAGAGAGAGAGAGACACACACACACACACACACACAGAGAGAGAGAGAGAGAGAGAGAGAGAGAGAGAGAGAGAGAGAGAG